TTAGAAACCTGGGATTTTATCCTAATTTCGTTTTGTTGCCCCTGTAGTTCTCATGGACAGCCCGCTTAACTAATAGAGACGGTAAAGCTCCAAAGCAACAAAGGATTTTGGAACTGGAAATCTCACATAAGAGCAACTCACTTGCTTAATAGTTAGATCCATTTTTCGTTCAGAGTAGAAGTTGCTACTTAGCCTTGGATGGTCCAGTCGCGTAATGGGCTTATAGTGGTTTATGTCAGCATTAACAAACATAATTTGCAGAAAATTTTTTTACTTATATGGGAGACATTGATTTTACAGATCAGGCTGACTTCGTAGGAATTAGAAAGTTGGCACTCAAACAATTAGCCTACGTGCATTATAGGATTTCTTTTAAGTTGAAATAGGTTGCGATTTGAAGGATTCTTCCTGAAGGGTGAAGAAGAAGTGCCCGAAAATCCACAAGAATTGTCCAGCCATCGTTTCTTGTCAAACTCAAACTTTAAACGAGTTTGTTATAGACCGATAATTAAATATAATAAAACGATTAATACTTAATAACTGATTTTTCTGAAGTTTGTAATCCGTCACCTTCCATTTTGGGAAAAGTGGCTTTTGGGTGTTTTTTGAAACAAAAATCAATGCATCAGCACTCTTAGCCAGTCAGAAATGAAGCACTTGGTGGTTTTTTTTAGAGAAGTACATACCATCTTCCACCGCAGCAGCCGCTTCCGCAGTCGAAACCACAACAACACCCGTACCCGTAGTGCATTGCGTCTGGTTTGTACGCAGAACTGATCAGTTGCTCGCCTTTTATGCGCGTGCAGCACAAAAAAACTACGCAGTCTGAAGAATTTGACTCGCCTCGTGCGCTGTTAAGCTTTTTGCGCAAGAGCAGGGTCTTCAAAAGCCTGCAAATTGCAGCTAAAAGAAAGCACAGGAAGTACACCGTTCAAAGACTTTTAACTTAGCAATAAGGAAACCGAAGGGTGAACTCAAAGGCTTCTCAAGGCTCTGGTTAAACTTCAATAATGATCAAACTATTTAAGTACAATTTCAAATGGCGGTGCCTTGAACAAATAAATACCTTACAAGCCGAGTTACCTTGCTAACTTGACTTTTATGCCAACAAGAGACCATCGAGCATAGACTTTTCGAGAGCAGATCGGGATCTTTCTTCAAAAAAACTCAAAGAGAAAGGCGACAAGAGTTGCAACACTGGGCCATTCAAGGAAAGTCTAGAGGTCGTTGAGTGCACGAAATAAACTCACATGTGGAGTGTTAGATAAAATAATGTACGTTGGCAAAGAGAGTACTGCTAACGCGGAGGCGAGTAGGTTCCATAGTGACTTTCGAAATGGAAAAAGTAATAATGATTTGCTTGTGAAAAACACATTTCACTCTTACATTTTTACTGCGCTTGATACAAAAAGACAAAGTAGCAAATCGCTATTTCTGAGTATTTGCAGAGGAAGATTTCATCTTTCGGCATAAATTTACGCTTTCTTTAGAGATTTAACACACTTGCGTGGAGAGCCACTCTAAACAGGTTCAACATTTGACGTAAGTCCTACTTTCAGTTTTCCTCAAAACAAATTATCAGGATGCGTTATTCATTTTGGAATTAATGCGATGCGGATCCATAAAACTCCCAAGAAGTAATGAATTAATTCGGTGTTGTCTGTCTTAAGGTAGCAATTAGTGGTGATTTTGTGCTACCGTTTAGGCTGACCAGAATATTCCCGAGTTAGTAACATTATCAAAAATTGTATTTTAATTAGAGCTGGGAAGATAGGTGTCGCTGCAGTGCCAGATATTGTGAATTTAGCGTTTGCTACATAAGCTTCAACAAGGTACAAATTTTGCTGAACCAAAGTGATCTGTGTTCAATAAAAATTGTTCCCAGTAGAATTCTTTGAAATAAGAAGGTATTGGACAGCCGTATTAATAGAAAAAAGCGATGTAAATAGTCCCATTGTAGTTTCGAAAAGGATTTCAACAACAGGCTAACATCAGCCTATTGTAATCAGTAGGTCAATCAAAACTACAAAGGTCAATGACTTGAAATGGGTGATACAACTAAGTGGGTGCGTTACGCTTTTGGGGGAAGTTATCATTCTTCAAAACTCCAAACCTATCTATAAAGTCGCGAAATTATCATTCCCAATTTTTGAATTCAATTAGTTTTTTTCCTAATCTAAAACGAAAATAATTCCAGATGGACCGAGAGCGTCTTTTTGCCCTTATCATTGGCTCGCCCCCGGATATAAGTGTTCTACTTATTTCCTTTCAGTTGTCAAGGTCGACTGTCACATGTACAATTAGGTATACAGTGCCCGTTACTCCTTAATTTGGTTAAAACATTACAATATTTTTCGCTAGGTCTTGTATCTTGTCTCTAAACAAGAGAAGTAGGATATAACTAGTAAGAGGTATCTGTGTTTGTTTATAGGTCGTGCATGCCGCAGATAACATTAGAACTTAATATCTATAACTGGTGAAGGGATTGCATCACCAGTCATTTGAAGCAATTTCCTTCTTAATACCTTTAAAAGCGATCTTATATTATTGAAAAGCTGACGTAGGTAGCAGAATTCGGTTGAAGCTAAGGTCCATTTGTTCTTATCAGCGAATTAATAACGAAGCTCAACAAAAGTAAGGATTTGGGAATGAATTTATCCGCAATCATTTGCACCAGCTCTCCTAATCAAATATCCAGATACTTTTAAGCCAGTTATTAGTACATTTGCTTATGCCCAATGTCACGCTGCTATGTGCGTTACGAAATAGCGGTAACTGAGATAATCTGATTGAGCAAGGTCCAAACGGAATGGAAAATGTGACAAAACCTTCCCATCTAACTCCAGCATTGCTATCATAGGTAATCACCTGGTGCTTAGTCAAATGTATTCTTGTTGCAGAACTAATATCCCCGTTCATTATGGATTTGGCGTATTTTTTAAATGTTAGACAGTTATTGCTTACATTGTTTGCTCGGCTATGCCTACCAGTTTCGTTCATTTTCCTACAACCATAATTACGACATCGATTCTGTTCATCATTAACAATAGAGTGCAGAAAGCTTAAAATAATGACAATTAGTGCCAAAATACCTTACAAGTGAGTAGACTTCAGAGGCGAACAGAATGTTTTTTTTTAATTTCCCTCTATTAATGTTAAAAAACACGCATTGTTTGAACCACGACTGCTATTTCCAGGTGGAAACAAGTATTTTTTGGTTAAAAAGGTATACGTATAATTTGTTTAAAGATAAGTGCCAAAATAGTAGTCACCGAAGTTATTTGGAAAGCCGGAGGGGTACATAATTCTTACCAATACTGCTCATTTTGAATTTAAAAAGACAAATCAGTGTCACTTCCGTGATAACGACATCCTCATCGATGTTTGTGTAGTGTTTCAAAGCCACATAGGCAATCGCAGTGCCATGGTTAATAGCGAAAACTAAGAGCTGTAAAAAAGCAGTGGTAGTTGTTAACTTAGCTTCTACATATTAGGGCCATAAAAAAAATAAAAAGAAGCATTATGTGAGAAATGGCTTTAGTAGAAAACTACATTAAACCTTAAGTAAATCATTTTTCATGAAAGGCGAAAAAATTAACTAGTCTTTGTTTTAACTAAAAACAGAAGCATATATTGTCATACTTATAACTGACATAAACGGTCAAATTTCTGGCAACAGAAAAAGCCAAATAATTAAAATAAAATTTTGACTGGCCATTTAAAATACAGAGTACTCTTGGCCAAATTCTTAACCATTATGGCCAACATCTAATGCCATTGAAGTCACCTGACATCATACATGTTAAAAGAGAAAAACTATGAAGACCAATCCTAATTAAAGGATTAGAGCAAAGTTGTTTGTTACCTAATTGTATTAATTGTGGAAAATGAGCCTTACAAAGGGGGGGGGTCTGGGATAATATTTAAAGGCAAAATTATCAATTTTACTCAACAGTCGATGATCCCATATAAAAAATAATAATGCATTGAAAAAAATTGTTCTTAGTTGAATTCTTATCTCAAAAGCTGATTTTCTTCGGATGAACAACCCCTTTTATTTTACAAATGGTGAATACTTTAATTATTTTTTTAAGTAATAGAATTAATTTTTTATTAGTTGTTTTCATCTTCAGTCAACGTAAAATGAGCTCTATGTTTAAACGGATTAACAAAAACGCGGGTTATTTAGATCAGAACTATTAACTAATAAAAAATTAGTGTGATTAGTGCATTTGAGCTTAGCCTTTTGGAACTCGTTTCCTTTTACACGCGTTGACAGATAAGATGGATGAATCGGACCAAATTTTCAGGATTCCGGACAAATACCAATCTGTTAGAGTCGTAAAAATTAAGGTCAGGGAACATCAAGCTGTCACTCCTTCTACTATAATATGTGTCCTGGAAGCGCCTGGCCATCCAGAAATAACAATAAACGGACCAGGCTACGGGAAAGTCACTATGCTTTCTGATGAGGGTTGCACATTGGAATCCAAGTTTGTTCCCTCTATTGTTATTCCATTTACAGTAAACCTTTATTCAAATTTGAGGGCTGTGGGCATCACGTTGTAATGAAGGACTTATGTGCGGAATGTGGAGCCAATCTAAGAAAGCTAGTCATGAAATATTTTTTTACAAATTTATAGAGAGGGGGGACTATGTGGAGAGCGAATTACCAAGGCATCAGCGAATATTCCTATGGTGCATATGATCCCCGAATTGCATGTCAGTGAATCGGTAGGTGGTCATCTTCTGCTGTTTTTTCGTCTATCTTAATCCGAATCAAATTTTATGCGTCGCCTTCTTTAGAAGTTTCAAGTCAATACATCATAAGCAAAATATAACAAACATCAAATACAAATGTTACTAGATTATCTGATGTTGATTGTCCTTATCTGTCAAAAAATGAATACAGCGTCTATCGACATCGTGACTAGTACCTCATTTAGGCTTCCATATTCTATCCACGGCGCTTTTTGCTGAAAATATTGTGGAATTGAAGTGTTCTAGTGTATCAAAATTCATGCGGCTTTTGTTGCTTTCGGCCATGTTAATTACCCTGTCACCAGCAATGTAACTTTCCAGGTTGCAGCCGAAATTGCATTGAAAGATGAAGAAAATCTACTTGCTTCTCGGAAGCTTGCGTTGCTTATTGATTTGGATCAAACTGTCCTACACACAACAACAACCCCGCACGCCTTCCGTTATAAGGTAATAATTGGAGTTTTCACATTTTATCGTTGAATATTAGCCTTCGCTCACTAATCAGTATGTGAATGAATTCATAAAAAAATAGCAATTTCGTGGGCTTTTAAATTGGGTGAAGCAGCTGAGTGTGGTTTTTTGTGCTCCAATGAATTAAGTAATGTTCCAATATTTTTCACTTCTATGAAAGGCACTAGTATTGAGCAATAAAACACCAAAGTAACGAATTAAACTTTGCGCTCCACATATTTAGAACTGAATCAATTGTGTCTACGTTGTGGACTTTAGCGACAGAGGCACATCCACTTACTTTCCTTGTTTTCTAGACTCCAAACTCAGATCCGATTAGCAGCTTAGATTCCAAACTTTTCACGAATGCAAATACCGTGATTTTATCAAAATCTACCTACATATATTTCTGCACCTAACCTTTCCGTGTATGAGATGAAGTAGTTATTCCTTGAATGTCTTCTTTGCGATTCTGTTATACAAGTATATGCTAGCAAAATGTGAAGTTAAAGCAATGAACTTTAAATGGCGTGGGATGATGTTAGTTGAAAATTGGGAGGATTAGCGCTACTTTAGTTCACTGACGCTGAAATGAAGTAGTAAAGAAACGGCAGTGTAGCTCAGAAATTGTTTTATCAGTGGAGTTTGAGTGTATTTCCAAAGAGATGGGAAATCGTTTATTATAAAAATGTATTAATTACGTAAATGCTACTTGCTTTACACCGAGCCTGTGAAAGAAATAACAACTCATTTGATTGTGGAGACCGTTTATTCAGGGATTCTAGTCCGCACGGGGTGAGGAGGGCCAATTAAAACTGGGAAGTAAATGGCGTGTGAATTTGTCGTCGCTTATTTTCATGAGGAGTAAATGCTTGATGTGCTCAAACATCAATGTAATTGACATCGAACTTGTAGATAGCATGATTGCAATAATAGTTTTTACACAAAATCTCAAATGGGCCAGTACCTTCTTCGTCAGAAGGGATGAATAACAGTAGTGATTCAGTTACCCTGGTTGCTTGCGTCATTACTTCTTCTCTACTTAAATCTGAGCAACTGATTCATTTTTGTAAGTAATAGAGCAGGTTTCCACAATAAGAATATCGTACATTTGTGGTGTTTAGCGAAATCCATAAAATTTTCATGGGAGACACCAAAAAGTTGTGCTCTTAATTATTAGTTACGTCGTAAACCATCTAACTATTTCTGGTACTTTATGTTATATAATCAGTAAAAAATGCCTAATTGATCTCCAGCAAGTCGAAAAGAGCCGTTTTTCTAAAACTGCAATTCCTTTGTCATTTTTGTGTGGCATCACCAATCTGGTGGTCGCGCTAAAGTGGGGTCACATCACTTTTCGCGGTTACCTTGGTTGTGATTCTTGCCCGAGAGTGTACGCGGAATAATGTCCCGGTGGATATTCCAAGCTTACTTACAATAAGCCGCCCTTTTATACTTGTAGGGTATACATCGTTTTCGTTTGCCTGGCTGTCCAATGATTTATCATACGCGTTTTCGTCCACACTTGACTAAGTTTCTAAAGCGTATGGTTAAACGGTTTCAAATGCACATTTGCACCTTCGGAAACCGTGCCTACGCCCACCAACTGGCCAGCATACTCGACCCGGAACGTCAGTATTTCTGTCAGCGCATTCTCTCTCGGGACGAATGCTTCAATCCCGTGACCAAGTCTGCTAACCTCAAGTACGCTAATGGGATTTTGTTGTGAAAGTAATCAGTGAACGTTGTTCATGGGGAATAGGCATTAGGGATTACCGTTTGGACTCACGTGTACTGCTCCAGTTAAGTTCATTTGCATTAGCCTATTGTTCCAGTCAATTAATGGTAAATAGCTCTGTCTGGTCGGTTCTGTGTGGAAGAAGGTCTAATTCGGTCATCCCTTTTAACCAACCCAATCAAGGGTTCTGGTTCGATTAGATCAACTAATGGTAAGTGGAAAACACCGAGAGAAGTACATGTACCCTGTAGTCGTTTTTAGTTGAAAGCTGTGCCTAAAGTAAGTACTGTGGGGATGAAAGTCATAGCTGCATTATTGTTTGCCTTTAGAGCGTTGTTTCCGCGAGGTGTTCATCTCGTTTGTATCATTGATGATCGGGGGGACGTCTGGGACTGGTCTCCTAATCTCATTCAAGTTCAACCCTACAGGTACGCATCTGTTTGCCTAATACGTTGTCACATTTTCTGAATCCTGTTTAGTTGAAAAATGACCTTAGGAGTGATGGTACAATTTTCACATCTAATACCCTCGATACTTGAACATTAACTATTCCCGTGCCGATCAAACAGTTTAGTGGTCAGCGCAAAGGATTTACTAACTGGCGCAATTCGAGCCGGTACCGAAGACTGACTACGATTAGTCTGTATTGATCAGAATAATGCGTGTGAATAAGTAAACTAGAAATCCTGACTTTACTTCCATTTTTGACAATCCGCTTCAATTTAATCTTATGATTTCAAAATTATTGCACATTCCTGCCGCCTTACCTCCTGTTGATCTTTCCGGGATTGTTAAAAGACAGGAGGGACTTTCACATTGTTTGCTTTTTAAAATTATTTTAAGGACCAAGGGTCAGTTGGTCTTGTCAATTAGCTTCATCAAATGGTAACCTGGGTTGTAAGGTAATACACAAGATTTCAATGAAATACAGTCGTTTTTGCACATTGGCTTAGTAAAGGAAACACATTAAATCCAATTCCCTTCCGAATTCTCACACTCGTTTAGATTGATCGTCACCATCAGATTTTCTAATCATGTGTTTCGATATTTTGTTGAAATGGTCGAATCGCAAGTTTTATTTTTATTTGAAGCACCAGTGATCCTCGCAATTTAAAAAGGGCAATTGGGTGTTTGTAGAATCCTCAACTCGAAATTTTGGCTGAGAAAGTTGGTAAAATGAATTTTCGAAAAGCAGTAACCTTCTGATCAGATGGCACCCACTTCACGGGCCGAAATTCGTGAATGGGTGGGAAAATCCAACTACCTAATTTAATGTCCTTTTAAATACCAAACGGTGTCTGCTGTTGAATGCACGCGTGGCTTTTCAGGTGATCTTCTAGGCTCTTTCGGGTGTGCATTCGTTAACTTCCTTGAAGACTGAGCCTACGACGACGAATGCAATGGCGCTGTCGGGGCTGCCGCCTGTGCACGCGATGGCAAGGCGTTCAAACTGCAGATGCTTCCAAACAACGCCTGGCATATCGATCCAATCGCCTAGTCGATTTCGTTTATTTCAACTTCCCGTTTTTAAATTGCTTTCTCAACTTTTAGTGAAAATACAGTGCGAGATTTTGTGGGTTGTTTTAGACAGCTAACGGGGCGTACTTTCGATACCACAATAGCGTCACATTAACGCCACCCATGTTAGAAATAGCCAGGTTTTGTAAACATCTTGGTGACTTTGAATGTTGAAATACGTGCCCTATTTAATCTCAATCGCACCTTAATTTCCTGCCGCTTATTGTTTTCCCATCTAAGCATGTCACGTTGCTAATGCGTGTGTTTGTCATAAAAAGCCTTTTTGCTCTAGAAAATGACCTCTGTGACTTTCGTGAGTGCATTTCGGAAAGGCAGCATGATGTGGGTACAAAGTGTGTACCTGGGCTAATGCAGTTGTGTGGTTTTTTTCAAGGGGATTGACACAAATGGCAATCTTGTCCGAAACTTTTTCCCCTGAAATGCCTCTTGCCATTTTTCTACCAAGTAAAAGTTTGCGTTCTGCATCAGGGACGATCGCGCCCATGCAGGTACATCGCGAAGACGTAAGTGCTCTCCAGCGCAGACGACAAAGGGGGCTTGTGTGGGTTTGTGGGCTGCGCCGGCGCCCAAGGAAAAGACAACTCGTCGAATGGATGCACTGCGTCCAGCCTCTTGTTAGCTGAGGCAGTTTCTACTTTCGGCTAACGTTCGCCTTCGCCAATAATGAAGGTCGAGTGCTTTGTCGCCAGTCGAAGTCACGTCCACCCCTAGATGTGTTTTTGGCTGGAAGCAGGTACCCCTGAGCAGTCGAACCAACTCGCCCATGCAGTTTGCGTGGGTAATCTCGGTTGTGTTCCTGTGTAAATGCCTGCATTTTCCATTCTACTTCCGGTTTTACTTGTCGCGTTGGAGCCAAAAACGAGCCGAGCAGGTTGTGCGCCATGGTAAGAGAGGGCTGGATGGTTTTGCTTTCACCTTCTTTAGGTTATGCAGATTATAAGTATAAAGCTGCTCTTTGCGCTTCCGCAATCGCTTGATGACATTGTCGGAAGGAAGGTTTCATCGTTTGCCAACGCGTTGTCTTGTTATTCACACACTGCACATTGGAATTTGCCCATACATATTTTTACCGTGCATTTTGATAAGGGAAAATCACTCGTTGAAGGTATAAGATTGTCAGAATTACAAGCAACTAGTTAACGTTGGCTGATTCTTAGAACCGGTTTTCCAAGTAGGCCTCCACGTGGTTATTTGGAAAACCATCGTAAGCGGTCAATTCAACATGTTAATGCTTAATTTAGGTTTTTTCCTGAGATCGGTGACATAAACGGGCCTCCGGGGCGGCCGTTGTCAATGATGCCAATGCCGGACTTCCGTGCCCTCCCTCCACCTCCTCCGCCTCCTCCTTCCCCTTTGTGCGCCCCCACCGATTCCTCGACTTCCTCCTCGGACGAGGAAACGCCCTCCCCCTCGAATTCGCCTTCCTCGTCAGCTATTATTTCAAGGTGATTTTTCATAATTGAGGAATGTTGAAAGGTACACTTTATGAAAGAAAGCAACAGTTGCAGGCATAAGTAAAATTCGCTTGCTAATGTTGGTATTTAGTGGTTAACATCGGAATTACCATCTACTTGGGTAATTTAAGTAGACAATTTTCTATATAGCGCAAGGGAAGGGACGGCTGGAAGTGACTGCGGCGAACATCAACCAGATTCCCAGTCCGAGCCAAAGTCCACAGATGGCAGTAAGGAGAAGTCAAAAGAAGACGACACAGATGTCAAAAAACCGAAAATTGCAAGTTCTTTTCCTCCCATCGCTGATCTAGGATCTCCACAGCAATCGATCTTCGAGATGAGTGAGGAGGCGCTTGATGCTTTCGATGCAGACTACCTATTAAGGCTGGAGCAAATTCTCATGGAAATTCACCGACGTTATTATCGCGCCTATGACAAACACGTGGCTGAAATAAGCAGGCTCAAAGCAGAAAATCAGTCTATTCAAGAAGGCTCGAGGTGCGTTCGCGGTTGTTTTTGAGATCAGAATGACCAGAACACTGATTATTTATTTATTCTCTAAAAACAGCAGTGAATTATTCCTCAAATCACAAAGTCAACATTGACCAACAACGCTTCATTCCAACCCGTGTCTTAATCCTGGCGCGGAATGTAAGTCCTGGGCACAGAAGTGACAGTGTGTTGAGGGCGTTTTGCTGGGCTCTGTGTACGCTGAACCTGAAAGCCCCTCACTGTGTGCCAACTCATCTGCGTTCATCTGAGGTTCATGTATTGACGATGACAAAAGTGTTTCAGTCCTAATCCGGATGCCATCGGGATGATAAATTATGTCGAATCACCGTTTTTGACAAATCCGACGCCCATTCGTGGCGATTGTTCAACTAATTCAATTAACTGTAGTCTATTCCTGGTCTTGAATGATTAATGCGCGTCACGGACTATCTTGTGACTTGTTTGTACAACGAGCAGAAGTTAATGCAGGATTTCGCACTGGTTTCAGTTCTCAACGATTTTAGTTCACTGTAGTCAGTCTCATATGAAACTGGTCAGATAGTCAATTGGCTGATGGAATTGTTTCGCCGTTCGGTGTTGAGCCAGGTGGCCACGGCGTGGTCGCCAGCTGTAGAAGGCCCGACGACATGAGTCTCGCACTCGCATCGAGAACGCCTACTTGTTGGAGCTCCATAACACTGCGCTGGCGCATGTACTTGTGAGTCGCAGGTGTGCGTCGGGAGGGTGGGGGACGGGAGGATGCGTAAACAGACTTGGCGACGAGATGGACAATGAGTCCGGACGGACGACGTTGACACGGATGACATGTAAATTAACACGACTCCCAGCTTGGCCAATGTCAGGTCAAACTCGCGCTACTAAATTCTTGTTAAGTGGTAAGATTGTTTTCAGTACGTGTTTACAGGTAGTGATAAGGTGTGAGGACATGACACACAAAACCAGTTCAATGCCATGTTTTCCTGGTCTTCATTAGCCAAATGTATGCCTTCGCTGGGCCCGAGTTCGCACGTAAACATGATTCCCTTGATACTCGCCTATTGTGAAACCCATCGCCTGACATATTTTGCACACGTACTTTTTTTATCCACCCCTTCGCCATTTCCTCATTTTTAAACATCACCACGGTTGAAGCGGGATTATCAGCGGCTCTTTAACATACCCAGCGCCCAAATTTAGTTACGCTTTCAGTCAGCATTATTTATCACTCATTGGTTAGTAATCAATGTGTTCGTTTCTTCAACTGAAGCTTCTTACGCTTTAATTTCCCATCTGTAAATGAAGAACCGGTAATTACGTTTGGTGCTCGAATGTCTTTTCCCTTTACCATCGTTTGATTTTGTGGGATTGTAATTTTAATGAAGTCCATTGTGTGTTTCCCAACCTAAGCACAAGTGGTGGAAACTACCTACCACACGTTTTCTTGCTTTTTTATGCCTAGTCATACACTTTCGATGTTCTGGCACTGGTTAGGGGGTGGGCTTGGGAATTAGCATAATCGAGGTTGGTAGAGTGCTGGCTGTATGGCTGACACATCTTTTTTGCCTTTTCTAGTAAAGCAGGCATGAAAATGTAGGGCTGAAGAGTAAACAGTTGCATTTTGGGTGGTATCGGATCTCAATAATGTGCAATTTCGACCAATTATCCGGGTAGTTATTAAACAGTCAATGTCACATTTTTCCTTAAAGTCGATTTCGACGGTTCCCTTTGTGAGGTGAGCCCTCGACCGTCTGCCTAGCAATCTGAATTGGCTGTTGACGCAGGTGTTCGGGTGCCCTGCCTCCGAACCCCGACTTAGTTTCCTCCAACGGACCATGCTAACTTTTCAAGCCCGGACTTGTGCCCCAGTTGTTGCCTTCGTTGTCAATGCACAGGTCCTCACACCACGCACTAGAGTCCAAAGATGGAGGAAGTTTGCGGTGTGTCACTTACTCTTGCTTGAATCGCTGTACACTATTAGTGCTGTTTTGCATTCTGGTAATAGCGTAAAGAAACAGTTTGCTTGCGCTTCAATATCTCACATCGAAAACTCCCTTCGGGTAGCTGGCCTAACAAAATGGAAACACGTCTAGCACTGAGCCTCACTTCTTGTTTACTCAGCTCCATAATTGTGATGGTAAGTGACACTTTGCTACGGCAAAGTAGCTATGCACGTATCCTTTCGATCTGATTTATTTGCAAAAATCAGAAAATAAACTACGAAAAGTGCTTGAATATCGAAGGGTTGGTGTTGCATCGGTGTGTTGAGAGGTTGGTTTATTATTCCCTAAAGGCTCTCAGGCATTCCTCACATCGCCAATATAATGACGCAGATGCGCGCAAGGGTTCTGGGCCCGAGCACGCACATCACCCTCTCCGGTCTCACGCCCACCCACCGCCCCGCCCGGGAGAGCCTCGCCGGCCAGATCGCTCTCGGTCTGGGCGCCACTCTGCACAACCGTCTGCGCTTCCCTAAACACGACAAACCACCTGCTCCGTCTGCCTCCACCGGTGTGGCATCACTCCCCGTCGCCAAGCCAAGGTATTCCTTTCAACAGCAACGCTATTCGTCGTTATCTCGAGATTTTGCGCAATTTAAATAGAGCTTGTGCTCTTCTACTCCGTGGCATATCTGTCATGATTCCTTGGGGAATGATCATGGCCTGTTATTTGAGATTTCCTGATTGGCTTAAAGTTATTTTAACAAGATTTGAATTTTATGCAACATTTCGCCAAGCCAAAACATTCATGCGTTTGGTCACTTTTGTCTTTATGCGTGTTGATTTGTTATGCAGGGTGTACAATTTAGAACCGCTAGTGAACTCCCGTAAGGTCTAGCAGCTGCTCACGTCCGCCAATGTGGTTGTGTACTGTTCCTGTCTTCAATAACTCATTCAGGTGCACTCCAAGAGATTCGTTTTAGGCAGGACATTTTCCCACCTACATTGCGCATTTTTGGCCATATTCCAGTCACAAAGCCTTCACCACCCACTTGGTGGCCTGTCGACAGAACACGGAGAAGGTGGCCGCCGCTCGAGCCTATCTCGCGAAAAGCCATCGACAACCCCTGCACATTGTCTCGCCACGGTGGCTGTGGGCCTCGCACTTTCGGTGGCAGCGTCTACCCGAGGTCCAGTTTCCCCTAGACCACGACTATAACCTAAACATGTTCGATCCCGACGCCAACTGCTTCCCCGGCTACTACCGGCACAGACATCACCGCTATCGCCACCGGCCCCAATTCGCCTCGCGGGATCCCTTCGAAGACGTCGTCAGGTGGGATGTCTGCATTAACAAACCTTCACCCGACTCACATGTGTTTCAGGCTTACTTACCCCAGAGGGTCCTGTTGCCTATCCGTAATGCTAATATTTTGGCTGGGATGATGGAGCACACTGATTTCCGTTTACTGGTAATGCTACAAATTGACCGGTCAGCTAATTCATGCTCTTCTCTATAGCAGTGCACATATTCTTGCCAATACCCATGTTCTCCACAGTATTTTGCAAAGATACAAAGCGAGATATGGAGTAATCTTATTCGGTCAATGTGGTTAGCTAGTTTTGTGTTGCATGTCTAGTGTAAGGTACCATCTGGGGTGTTAGCGTCGCGTTGTGTGTTTACGAAGAGATTAGAATCTTGAGGGTTCGAGGGTCGGTTGCTTGAACACCCAAAAGAGTCCACCGAAGGTTGGGTCTAATTGACCACCTTCAGACTGATAGAGTCATTGTTTACTAGGTTCTAACGAAAATTTTGTGTTTAGTTTGCTTAATTTGCATCAGTAAGCGTCGGTATGCGGTATTTGTTGTGAAAAACAAGGGAACTTAGTGATTTAATAAACCGCACGCGGTATCTGGGACCACCGAGCTGTGGATGCGGCCTGTATGGACACTTGGCAGCCACCGATTCCATTGCATGAATTAACTCGGGGAAGTTGCAGCCGCGGCTGAATGTGTGCACCGTTCCGTCGTTTTTCGTATCGTCAACTAAAACCGCATGAATATAGACAAATTCACCTCATTGTTTACATAAACATTTTCATAGCGAACCTGAAGCAGTCAGCTGTATGCCTCCTAAAAAAGAGGTAATCATTTGGCCAATGTGAAAGTCTGAAAGTGTGTTTATATTTTGAGGCATTTTAGTTATTTCCATTATACTCATGCTCCAGTTTACGTAATTGTGAATACTTTTGAATCGTTGATAAACTAAACGTTGAAGTCAGTTATGATCGACCGAATCACACTTTTCTTTCGAATCACAGCCTCAATGACGTGGCTGAGGACAAACCGGAGCTCAGCCCTTCTATGGTCCGATCGGCGATGGAGTCCATTGAAAGAGAGTTGCATGATCGTCGTTGTCGTAGAAATCGTTCGGAGAAGCTGTGTCTTCTGGAGGGCGAAGTGGAACCCAAACGCAAAAGAGCAGTGTCGGAATCTGGAGAGCAAAGTGACCCTGTCTGTCCCCAAACAAGGAAGCGTCCTTGTACACGGAAATCGGACGGCCACCTTTCAATTGGTTAGTTGACATTTTTTAGTATTTTCTCCATGTGTACTTGAACTCAAAGGCTTCATGTAACCTCGTGCATTAAAAGTGCACCAGTTGAACATTTTAGCCTGGTGTGGGTTGGGGACTCGACTTCGATCCCTAGGGTCGACAGCGATTGTAGCGCTGTTTTGGACGAAGTCGTTACATGATGGGTTTGGCGATGTGGAACGTTCTAACATGGAGAACTACGTCTTTGAATTAATTGCTTCCTAGGTGGTTACTTCAAATTAGAAGCTTTCGATAAACTCTAGTGGCATCCCCGAGTACTCTTCCATCAGATAGGATTTATTTAAACCTATATTTTTGCCACTTTTTTTTATTATAAAGGCTTTTGCTTCAACCATTAGATTTTAATCAAGTGTCACGTCACAACCCGAAAATCGTGCAAAGTGACCAAAAAACTGCCAAGCATGTTCTTTAAATCTGTCCCGTCCTATGATCTATATTTTATGTGTGAAATAGTAAACCCATTTTTTGATCAGGTTGTCTGTGTAGCGATAATGCTAGTTAGGCTGAGAGCAGCAAAAGAGGAGGTAGAAGTTACCTAAAGCCGCTTTTGACAACCCGATACCGGCATGCTCCTGTATTCCTTCATTTGGTAAAGACGATTGAAATGTGAAATCATTAAATGTCCTCTGTGAGTCCTCGATGTTGCATTTTAAATTGGTGAAAAGCGTGAGGTGTTTTGTTAAAACAGCCCAACAGTGTATTTTTCCGTTTGGTAAGTCGGCAACAGAAAAGGCATGTTCATTCTAACGAAGATTTATAATCTTACATGTGTTTCAGGTTGTTCAGTCTATTGAGTGCTAAAGCTAGGTGACTTTTTCGTCTATTGAGTGCGTAAAGGTGATGTCACTGGGACTGGATAAGGGCGGTGAAGTTTTACGTAGATAAAAGATTGCGGGTCAGATCTTAGGCAAGAAAAATTTAGTGTAATGTTATGGGTTTTTGCACTTTAATCATGCAATGTACTCGTTATTTGTGTCTTATTGTTCATTTAATTTGTGTTGGACTTTTTTGTTTCGGGTTTCAAACTCAATTAGAGTTTTAGCCCACGCTGCAATTCGTGGTTTACCTGTCGCTGAGTGGATTTTACTCGGCGTCGTCCAAATCACTTTCTTTGGAAGTGGATTTTACTGCCGTATTCTTGCATTACAATCACCGAGTTTGTAACAACCTAAATCTAACCACAGAACACTCGTGAATTTTTTGGATGGATGGTCCAGTTGTTACAGGCTTTCACTTGATGCCCCTTATTTGAATTATTTTACGATGTATTTCCCATAGTTTAGTACAATGGATTCACCGACCCGTATGTTTGTCCAGAGCCTGTATTCACTTGTGCTTTTTTTCATTGGTTGTGCACTTTTTTCTTAGTTGACAAGGACGTCAGTGAGAGATGTGAGGACACAGAAGGGAACCACTCCACTTCTCGATCTCCCTCTATTTCTACTGACGATGACGACGGTGATGCCGATTCGAACTTGGAAGGTAAAAAGGTCGAGAGTATTTCGGAAGGCGGTTTTTCATTACCCTCCCCTATCCCGCCTTCTGAGAGCATCGACAATCCAGGGACGTCCGAAGAAGAAAATGACCCAGACGACGTTGCTGTCGTGTCGGACGCGGATGAAGAAGACTTAAACTCAACTCTGGCGGAGGAAGAGGAGGATGAGGGGGCGGATACAAACGGAGAGGATGAAGAGCTGCCAGAGGGGGCACCCCAGCCTCAGGAGGAAGACCTGAAGGAACAAATGAAACAATACCTGCCACCCCCTTGTCCTTTGGAGTATGCTGAAAACCCCCTGCTTCATATGTCACCGCAGGTGCGTTTCTTTCTCCCTTTTGGTATTAGGAACCCTTCTTACGTCGGTTTCATTTAAATTTGAGTTATGGGGAAACGTTGGATACAACGCCGCATCAACCATAAGCCCAGCTAAGTGTTGGTTATCACTCTCATTGTCTTAGAGACCAAGCTGTCTTGTGATGCCTCCTCTGCTGACAAGATGAAAACTCAGCTCACTATATGGCAGTGATCGGGGAGTGTTTAAGTTGAACATTGACAAAAAAACTGCTTTGGTTCGGTTGCAGGCAAATTAAGCGGCTCATGTTTAAAGTTTGGTAGGAAGTAACAAAGCGATAGGTTTGTTTTGAGTGGTCAATGCATTTTACAGCCCTATCGACAATGTCCCTTTAGCCTTTGCCTCAGACGGTTCCAACCTAACAGCTGCGCTGGGCACCTCATTCGGGTAGGTTTGTCACAATTGGCGAAATGTGCTTTATTTGATTTCAGGAGACGTCGTGTAGAGCAACGCGCTTAAAAGTGATTTACTAAAACAATCTTTGTGTTTACCAAATTGGTGCGTACAGGGGTTTTATATCTATAAAATACCCGGCAATCGCCAGCAAAGGAAATTCTGTTCGTGATGTGCATGGGGAGCACCTTCTGGTGACTTACTGTCAATCTGCATTCACGTTGGTACGATTGATGTGTTGTAATTGTAAATCACTTGGCCTAGGTAATGTTGTATCTCATGTGCGTTGACACTTGTATGCAAATGCGAGTTACTCCCTCGACCACCGTTCTACCATTGTTGTGGTCGGTTTTACCATAGGACAATTGATGGGTGTGTTTTTTGCAACAGTGCCTCCGATTGACTATTTTGGGCCTTTGTTCGGCCTCTGCTTCCTTTTCCAAAATGGATCTGTGATATACAATGGTCTTGAAGTATATCCGCATTGCTTTTGCAGCCAACTTCATACATTAGTCTAGTTCGTGAAAAAAAGCTATAATTTTCCTTCTTCAGTTTTCGTCGTGCAAGGATATTCAAGTTTGAGTTTGACGGCCATTTCAGGAAATACACTTAAAAGCTAGGGCATCAAAATTGGGTCTAGGTTGAATGTGTCAATTTCCTACTGCCCCAATCCCACTTGCGAACAAACGCAGATTTCATACCAGTCCCGTTTTTAGTCGATGACAGCCAATGGTGGGGTTGCGTGAAAATTAAAACATGCACGAACTGCTGTCTCACAGTTGTTCAATTTATCTCGGTAGCTCAGCTTGTTGAGCGTGAGCCGATGTTCGGCTGCCCTGGACATGACTGTCAGGAAGATATCTAGTGCACTTTTATTGCTAACGCTACACAAGGTACACAGGAGAGCTCCATTGTTGATTTATGGATGTGCCTTTTGGTGATAAGTAGAGTCTCAGTGCCAACTTAAGCCATGCTCCAGTCGCACAGAGCGCAATCGTAACCCACTTAAGCATTCGCTTTTCAATGGTCTAGGTGTCTTGATTTGAGTAAGTGTAGTAAACACCAAACAAAAGTAAATCAATATTGATGTGAATGTTCGTAACTCAATACATAGTATCATGTTGCGCGGGCTAACCTCATATAGGCAACGTGCACATCGTGAGCTAAAACACTGGGCTTAGAAGAATTAAAGGCACTCTTGCGTTATTTGGTACTGAATGTACGGTGCATTGTACTGAATGTACGATCTCTGTTATGAATTTACTTCCTAAGCTCTCATTGTAAAGCCCCTTTGTAAGGCGGCTTGACAAGAGAAGTTTTGGTTTTTTTGCATTCTGAATTATTGCTTTGTGTTGGCTACCTGATCACCTTGCATGATCCTCTATCTCGAAACTAGGCGGCTAGTCAGATGTTGGACGAGGTCGAGGAAGCGGTGATGGAGGAGAGGGAGGAGCGAGCTTTATCGGTGCCACGAGAAATGGAAGACGAGGAGTCCTCGAGTTCATCCTCTGCGGATGACGAAGAAGCCAAATGTGCCTATGAGTTAGACAACTATCGAGACGAAGAAGAAGATGCCAACGAGGACGACGAGGTGGACGATAGTGACTCGCATGATGGCAGAGGGCGAGACGAGCAAATCCACACGCACAAAGATCTTGAGCGTGAGGAGCGCTGGCTACATGTGGGTTCTTGTCAGGCAATATCACCGTTTATAAGTCACCTGCGATAAATGGCGATGCCATGCACCTGAATTTGTCGTGGTTCGATCCATGGTGTAATGGACGTAGCGATAGACATAAAAATGGAGTTGCTGTTTCAAGAGCTGATTGCATTAACCCAGCTGTATGAGAAAGTAGTGCTTCCGGCCAACTTCATATATCAACCTAGTAGTGCGGTGTGCTTTGTAATGTGCTATGATTCCTTGCTGATATCAATTCTTACTGAGTCTTGATCCAGCACTGTTTTATCACCGAGCCTGAGGCTCGACCACACATTTTAATGTACATTTGCATTTTACATTAGCCTATCGTATGTGCGTGCGATATTGGGGGCTCCTCATGTTCGTTAATTGCGGCACCAAGACTTCTTTAGTGTTTTTTCACCAAATTAGATTCGCCAGCAATTGCTCTTACGGAAGAGTAAACCAAATCGCAGACGGCTTGCCAAGGTGGAGCGGAGACTGTGTGAACTCCGAGGAAATTCCTCAGGATTTCCCATCGAAAAAAGTCACCCTCGACATGTGAGTTGCTAATACTGTTTACTGAAATCAATCCACAGGTCCTCGTGCCTCGATTAGCGTGGTGCACAGGCCATACAAAATATTCAACGGTGCAATTCCTGTACTGTTTTTCGAACATCTTCCGTTCATCTAAGAGTTTGCTTTTCAAATTTACCAAACATTGTGAGGCAACTGCGCAGTGTCACGGGACCTGATTTACCTCTAATTTTCTGCGTCGAACCAGTGTGCTATAGTGGTAAATAAGTTCTTTGTTTGGTGTTTTCGTTGGCATTGTCACCTTACCTGTGTTTGTTACTCTAAGCACACAGTCAGGCAATTTTAAAGTTTCATTTGGCTGTCGTTTATGCACAATTTGTCAGCTACCATACAAAAGCATTGACTTCCTTATGTGAATAATTGTCTTGGTGGATATTTGAAACCCAGCTTGAACGAGGCGTTTATTGATTTCCGAAGGACATTTTCCAGAAAAAGCGCCAGCTGTTGAAAGTGATTGGTGTAATCGGCGATCCGATTGGAAGACCTAAGTTCATATTTTCCATAGTCCGTCACGTTACTTCCGACGTGGCCCCATTTTTTACAGTGATCATGGCTCGCCACGCTTTCGTATACATTCTGATGTCTTGTCTGATTGGGGTTCCACTACCTAAGCATATGGAATATCACGGGCTATTGTCATTTCAACTTGGTTGTGCGTTGCCTACTTTAACTTTGCTTGTGTTTGGGCCTTTAGGTTTTCCTTTAAAGTGGAGACATTTCATTTCTACGATCTAAAGAAAGTACAATAAATCTCTTTTTGCCTACCACACGCTGCCCTGTCGACACCCATCGACTTGTAGTGGAGCGCACTTTTGCCGCCACTCTCTCAGAGGCTTGGCACGCTCGTGGTGTTTGGATGTGCGTGTGAGAGCGTGAGTCAGCACTAACCTTGCGTCCTGCATCGATGGATTCGCTCGCAGTGGTTCATCATCACGTCGGTCAGCGTTCTGTGCGTCTAATGCGCCAACTTCGAAACCGGAAATGTCCTTGTTTCCATGTAATCGGCCAGTGTACTTAAGCAACTGGTTTCTACATCATCGGGTTTGAGCAAATGCAACACGAAAAACACGTTACACTGGGTAGTATTGGGGGTATTTAGGCGAGTTGTCGTCCGGTCATTTTTGCACTGTTGGTGCTTTCTTAATTCTTGTAGTTTATTTTCGGTGTTCAACAATTACGCCAATACTTTCGGCGTGCTTTTGATTTAAATCCCCCGAAGTTTCTATTGTCTCCTTTCTTTGTTCTTCTCATGTATGCATTTTCGCATTAAGGAACCTCGTCAGAAAGCATTCAAGAACGTCCGACCCACCACCACCGGTTGTCGTAGCGATTCGCACGAGCCCCCTAATTACTGGTCTGATCCCCCCGTGTCCGACGAATACGCCGACCTCCGCGAGTTCAACACCTGTCCCGAAGGCTACGACTACGTTGACGCAGAGCAGGCGAGAGAGCTACTGCGTCCGGAAACGACGAGGAAGTCGCCGACAACTAAGCAAGCTGACGTTGGTGGTGGTGGTGGTAATTATGGTGGTAAAAAGAAGCCTGTAATTGGTGCAGCTGGCTATCTAGAGGTCAGTCTATTTGGGTCTGAAATCAGCTCCTCTTCGTCTGAATCCGACAGCGGTGGCGATGACAGTGATGGAGATGCTGTTATAAAGTCAGATGCATTGAAAGAATTTATGTAAAGACTTATTCCCTGGTTTTTGGCCATCATTTCTTATTGCACATGTACCTCTAAAGATTAAATAAATATCTTTTTACCATGAGTTGTTTTGGGTGGCCAAGTAGATTGCTCTGTCAGAAACGCAGCCTCGTTACACTATAAACACTAATTTAAGATCCGTTTTCTGGAAGAAAGGTTTTTAGTTCTGAGGAAGGGGATAATGAAGTGATTGGTAATTTTATAAAAACGGTTTCTGCATGTCGTTGTCCGACTACGAAGCGATTGTGATCAAGCCCATCTGACGCGCATTGATGCCGGGGTTGTAATCGAATCCGGTGTAAAATGTGCTCTGCTGATTGCTGACAACGAAAGCCTTGTTGTTTTACTAGAAAAGGATAAAAAATGCAAGGGCACCGGAAAGGGAAGTGAATCAGACCACTTTGTGGCGAGTCAGGCTGTGCTCGTGGCGGCTGATTGGTGGTTTTCCTTCATTGTGCTGCCAAATGCACTGAAGGTCACTTTTGTGCGTCTAGCATCTTAACGAGGCACATTCTTTAGTATCAGCATTTGCCTATTGAATGATCTAACATTGGTTGTGTGATGAATGCACAAAAATGACCTGACATCGTTTTGTGCTACCGCAACGTGCAGACCTCTGCGAAACTGTGCGAAATTGCAATTATTTGCCTCAAAACCCGCTCATCAGGTGTTGGCCATTTCATTTCCATCGATCCTCAGCATTCCACTGATCAGGTTTGTAGAAAATCAATCATCGCGTGTGTAATGTGGCCTTTTCAATTACCTAAGATTTCAGCTTTCATGCTCTCTTGTTGGTATTAAGGAACAGTGTGTGGCGCGAATTTCTTGATTGGTTGCTGCGAAGTCGGATCAAGTTTCGGGGATACTAAATTAGAGCAAGTGTATTATGCTCGCATCGAAAACAGTAGCTTCTGTTCGCACCACAATTTCAACTTCAGATTCACGTTGTCACAAACGCAGTTCATGGTTTCAATTAAATCCTGACGAAGCTTTCTTCGATGGATCGAAATGTCTTCAGGTTGTCGGTTTATATTCCTACTTTGACAATCTGGTTGATTAAAATGAACAAGGCCGTGGGTTAGAGGCATCTGATTATGATTTTGCTGCAAGCATACTCCTACACCTGCTCTGGCCCTACGATTTCAATTCTGTAAATTTTCATACACTTGAGAATTTTGCTTTTTATGGAGTTATCGGTACAGAGTATGAAGGCCTTTCGGTGACTTCTGACAGACTTCCAGAACTTTAACAACTTTTCTGCTGCTGGTTGCAGTACCTTAGTTAAAAGGATCTGTTACCACAATTTCGAGTTGATGAATACTGCCATATTGATGGGGAAGATCTGCCTCTTCTCCTATGGCTGCATATATGATCCACCTTACGGAATCATGCATTTGCTTTTGGAAGATTCCTTGGCTTCGTGTGCCCCAGATTTTTTGGATGGCTAACTTTCCAGACTAAGATCGTCCTACTTGCTTAAGGGAAGACATGACACTTTCGTGCGTTCTATATGTATTAGATTTTAATTAAACTCATGACTTCTAACGAATAGGTTATTTTAATGATCACAACGATGGTCAAGGCGGGTTCGGTTTGGTCAATGCAGAACGCACCTTTTCATGCTGCAGTTTCCGCGTAGTCGCATTTTCATGCCACTGCGGTGTGCTGGGTGCTTTTCACTGTGTGTCTAATTTGCCCAGTACAATAGAGCGGGTGGTGTTTAGGTCTTCGAGAAAAAACACCTTGGGTCACCGTGACCGATGTATTGTCGGCTGCGTGATTTGCCAACAGGATTACGTGGATTTGGAAGACATGGGTAGCGCTGTTTGACCTGAAACCTTTTTTGAAACAAAAGTACACGAGCAAAGTGGTCATTTTAACCACCTAGAGTTACTGTGTTAATAACATGGTAGAAGTCATTGGTTTGTCCTCAGGGAAGGTTTAGCGTCATTTCAAGTCAATTAGCGCCTTCTCAGGAAGCAAAGGCAGTGCCTGTTTGAAAGGGCGCATATTCTGAATCTAAGGCCATGGGTGGCATGCCCGGGTTTTAGCATTACTTATTTATTTAGTTAAGACAATCCTACGTCAGTGCGCTTTGCCAACCGTGATATACCACATCGTAAGCATAAAAAAATCAAATAGTATTACACCTTTTATTTTAATACACACATAAAGGTAGAACTAGTGGAAATATTAATACCACTGGGGCTCTCTTAATCGGTTGTGCTTTGCCACACAAGGACCACGAAGCGGCCCAGTTTGAAGTTGAGAAGACGGTTGGGCGCATAGCTTGAGTGAGCAGAGTAGGAACCGGTCAAAATAACAATTTGCCAAATTCCGCCAAAATTGTCCTTGAGAGCTTTGCTCAATCGTGTGACTATCGGTTCAAGCCTGACCGTCTGGCTGGTGTTGCTGTTGCACTCGAGGAGATCGTCGTCGACCTGGTCGATAATGAAATCCTTGATCTTCTGGGGCATGTCATCTTTAAGAACCTCAATCTGCGGCCGGGCCATCCTCTTGTGCGCCTTCTGGTTAAATCACGGAACTTTCTGCTCGAGTGAAGTATTTATAATGCGCGTGATCGATTGTACCAATAGGGAGTAAGTAACTGCACACCTTCGAGCACAGCATCGGCTAACGAGCAAATCAGATGCTTGCTCGTGTGACACACCTTCATGTGTGATCTACGGTCTTGTCGAAGCCATCGCACTAAAAAACTTGTACAAATGCACTCAGCCCTATGTTTTTAAAGAGTGATTCGAATTCCAACTAACCACTAAAAGCATGACAGGATCTAAGTTCTGAGAAAACGTAATAAAACCACGGGCTGCCTCGGTTACTCACGTCCTTTATAAATGATTCCGAAAAACTGGATTGGAAGGAGAAACCGAGCAAATCGAAGGAATTTATTTTAAAATGATGCTTTTATAACATTGTAAGAAAGACTCATTTTGATTTAGTTATTTCGACAAGTGCTCTTTCAATTGGTTAAAATAATTGAACGCACGTGTACTGTTTGGGTTCGATGTTTTGTCATAATTACGAGTGTGTGGATTTGTGCCAAGGGAAGGCAACATCCTAATCGTCACAATGCATGCCAGCTGCTTCTCCTGAATCAACTGGAGACATTACAGCGATCGTGGGGAAATTTCTTGGCTTGTGGAATCGCCAGGCTATCTTACGCCTTTTGATTATACTCATGTTGGCATTACCAAGAAAAATTAATGCATACCCTGGCACACATCCAACCTCTTAATATCTTTTTGTGTAGAGGTTCTTAGAAAAAGCACTAAGCTAAAATACCGATGTGTGTGAAGTTCTCTTTACATGCATATGATCACATTAAGTAGGCATGTAAGTGTTATACTTCACACGGTTGCATGCCGCAAGATTGCTGTACACTGGGCGAGTGTCGTTCAAGTGTCAGTGGCATACGGTCGAAACGAATTCTGACCACGTGACCACTTTAGTTCTGCCTTTACCAGGGAGAGTTGAAGAGGTGGCTCTGAATTCTCATTACATCAATGCCAAATACTTGAGCCATGCTACATTACCACCTCAGTCAAAAGTACGAGCATGTAGTGAACTCCCTACGTGCAAAGTCTACGAGTAAAGATAGCTTCCGATATGCGTGTTCGCTTCTAAAGTGAAATTTGTGTGTTGGTTTGATTCCTGAATACTGCCCGTAAATTGTCACGTTGCTATTGCTGCAGCAAATACATTTTGCTAGCTAAGTTCTGTTTAACCCCCGTCGAATAAATTAAGTGCTAAGTTTGTGATTTAGTCATTAAAATTGCAAATAAAAAAATTTTATATGCGAAATACTGTAGCATGGGACTACAAACTCGGTAATACGATAGATAAAAACCAAAAGTCACTTTAAATTTTTTAATGTCCAAATACTGTTCACAGAAGTTCAACCCGAAAATTTGTTCACAGTACTCCTCTTCAGGCCTCACTGACGACTTCTGAAAGGTAATGCATTATCAAGACCTCCAAGAAATAAGAGTAGATCTTGTCCATAAAATATTGACAATATGGTTTCCCACGGACTTAGCTAACTAAACTAGACAAATAGATATCCAACTGTCCCAAAGTTAGTTTTTCCGACAAATGGAGAGCCATGTTTTGTGCTGGTTACGAGAAACGATACGACGGCTTTTCAGCAATCAGAACTAAGCAGAAAAGTTTGTCATTATTTGTGAGCAGCACTGCACCATCTTGGGTCAACCAATGAGGCCTCTATAATAGTTTCTTCCTTGTTAAATTGCAAATTAATATAAGCAAAGTAAATAAGACGGTGAATGTAGAATGTAACAAATGAACTTGCGACTAAGTGGTAAAAAATGGAATTACTTTTAGGAATGGAATGAGAATTCAGGTTCGAAGGTTTGATATTTTCATCGTAACTTTGCAGCTGCTAACATGGTGTGTCCAATATCGGAGCACCTTGCGTTAGCACAGCCCATGTTGGGGGCCACTTCATTTCATTTCTAAACGTTCTGTCCAACCAGTCGACTATCAAGTGCAGAGATCACTATAGCGTGTCGTAGTTCAACCGGACTTTTCGATAAATCCAATTATAGCTCTGAGACAAAAGCATACATCACAGATTAGTGAAATGCATCTTTGTACTTGGTTACACGTGTTTCCACCATAAGTGGAAGGTAACTAATTTATTGTCTTTGAAAACTCAACTCATTGACCGTAGCAAACTGAGGTCCGTTTGCTGAAATCAATACTTATATTCTGGTTTGTACAATTTTTGTCACGGTACGGCTTCCCGGAGAGGTACTACGTTTCAGTGGTAAATTAAACACTAAATTTGGAGGGGCCAACAAATTGTTGAGCTGTTGCTTAGTAATGGTTTTTCATTTAATGATATTCAGGACGACAACCTAACATTCGGATTTATTATAGGATCAAGTTTGATAAGTGGATTCATTGTGTTCTAATCTGTAACGTAGCCTTTTTTAATACCTGAAACTAATTAATTCTTCCATTTCTACTTTTCACATTGTTACAATTCGCAATGGAGCTGGTAAGTTAAGTGGAGAGTTGGAAGCGAAGGTCAGTATGTGACGTACGTGGAAAATCCGAAAAGATCAGCTGTCCTTGAAACAGTTTGCTTAAGACATAAAACATCCATCTCAGATTCGAAGACACCGCAATTTGCAAATTAAAAAGGTATGATTTTAAATAAACGAGAAGTTGAGAGAACCGCAAAATCGACATCTTAGTACACCACAATGAATATTGAATTAGGTGATGGTGTACCTTTGTCAGATCTACATGAAATGGCAATTTACCAGTCGAACATATAAACGAAAATCGAGAATAAACTTAGCGATAACGATTCCCCAAGGTTAAGATTACCCTGAGTAATGCAAATCATAAAAACGAAGTCCTCTTCGTTTGTGACTGTCCTTGTGTGACGATACTCATTTTAATGATTGTACAGAGGCCTTGAAACACGCACCTACGCACACGTGTGAAACGGCAGCGATGGTGATAACTGGGGTGGGTGTCACAGCGTCACCAGTCTCCAATATTAATGACTCACTAGGCACAAATGCACATTGTCTTAGTCGACTTCGAGGCACAACTCCTCTCAAATGAAGGCTTTGGTGAGATTTTGCTCGAATGTCGCTGAGCCTCACCTCATGGGGAAAGCGCTTGCTTAGCGAGATCAACGACGACGAGTCTAACAAGCTTGGAGCTAGTGCCAACATATCCAGTGGTGGTTTTTCGATTTTCTGCACGATTCTTTAATTAGCGGCACTTGCTAAGACTCCAGTTTTTGTGGATTTATTGAACATACATTTTAGTAAACAAACGCAGGTAGACAGAAATTCAGGCGTCGCACAAATAATAAATATTTATTGAATTATCGCGTAGCAGTCAAAAAACTCTCTTACTTGGATTTACTTTTGTCCATCAAGTTTTATCATTTTATTTTAGTCAACAAGGTGTTGCGTCATTAAATAGAGTTACGAATAATTGGGCAAGTAGGCTGATAAATCTGTTGAATGCTTAGAGCAAATTGGTTGATTCAATAGTGAAAGAAATATAATGAAACTTTCTGATGGGGAATTAAGAGTTTTCTTCCTGATGCTTTTCCTTGCTTTTCTCTAGAAGAATTCTAACTTTTCTACAAATCGGTTCAATTGTGAATTGTGACAAAACTCTGTAAATTTAGCGCGTTCGCACTGCCAAGCTCCATTACCGATTAAGTTAACAAATTTTCTACAAGGTGTAATGGTATAATGGGTCTTGCCAAAAATTCTTCTGATATTTCAAAAACTTCAAATTTATTCTATGAGTTTTAACAGAGATGCAGAATTGGAACACTCATGGAAGTTGGTTATTTGTTGCATTAAACCTAACACCATTCTACTTATTACATAAAATAGTGACATTAGATATTAAAACACCAGCCCCACACTCTTGCTCAAGTGATCATGGCTTTTTATCAGCCACATGGAAGTGAGACAGAACAGGCTACGACATTAGATACTTCAGCACGTGATAGCCTCAGATGTCTCATAAACTTAAAATGTGTAAGACAAATTGTAAGTTTTTTTCAATACACTCTAATGCTAAATAGGGCTGGAAATACTTCTCACACTTGTGCCTCCATCTTTGTGAAAACCCGAATGGAACTTTTTCGAAGGTCGATAGGGTTAATTACTTCATCCACAAAATCACTTGACCGTGAATCGCTGTTGTATTGTCAAGGACTGGGCTATAGAAAACGCATGTGTATGTTCACGAGTCCACTTTCTGGTCACGTCAGGCAGACACAAGTATTCCAGTCCGTGAAAATCTGAGTTGGATAAGGAATCATTTTAGCTGACTTGTCCAGCTCTCTTGACTCACTTAGACTCGGCTTGTCGCAATGCAGTTGAGGTTCGAGGCGAATAATTTGCATAACTACGCCCACATACCCATTCCTGAGTTGGTAACTAAGTAAGAATTGCTTTTGCATTGCAAGAATGTTTCATCGATTACCCTGATTTCAACATCCTTCTAATTTATAATTTAGAGCGTCAACACAGCTTCCCACAATATTTAAGATGCGAATCAGTTGTTTTTGTTACAGGGACCTCCCTTTTTGCGTACAGCTTGCTGTCGTGTTAGGGTGATTTCCCATTAACTTTTTACGACTCAGTTTGATGTGAGTGTAGACTACGCTCCTGGTGCCTGAGCACAAACGAACTGCCATATGGCCAAAAAAAGGCTTTGACGGCGCGGGGCTTTATAGTTGCCGTTTGGCTATTGATAAACTACACAACGTAAATGCTGCTCCCACCTGCTCCAATCCTGAACTCCAAAGACACAGCAGACATCGGTATTCTCGTCCCTTCGACGATCACTGAGACGTGTAACAAGGCTTTGCCGTACATAGCAGCAGGACAGAGAGCTCATACTTTCTTTGAACTTGTGTTGACTAAATCTGCCTCAGTGCATATTTGTGTTACGTTGCAGGCACAAGTTTCCATTAAACTTAAGT